AAACAAAAATATGAAATTAAGAAAACCGAATCAACGAATATTTTATCCTAATTGTACGCAACACTAACACATAAAATGACAGCCATATTGTACAGTGCTGCCAACTTAAACATAAATCAGCACAATAGTTAATATACGTTTATTATATGTTTATGAATATCACAATTTTATTAATGGTATTTAAGGCTAAAGTGTGCTTTAACTATTAAGTGCATTAAAAGCAAAATAAGATTTTTTTATAAATACAAGCGTTATTGTTTATTTAATATTTTAACCAAAAAATATGCTAATAATATCACACTTTATTATAATATTTAATGGTTATTTATTATGCCTAGCAACATGTTTCTGAATTTACAATGAATCCACAACATTTAGATGTTTCAGTTTATTTTTGATAAATTTTTCCGAATTTTTCTATAGAGCCTTTAAAATTCGTTTTAATTTCCCATAATTATATTATTTGTCTCCTTATTTTTCCTCACAAATAATTCATTCAAGTGTGTTAACGCCTCCTTTAGCTTTAAGAGTTTTGAGTTTTTAAGATAAGATTATTCTTTTGTTGCATCAACATTTTATACATATACATAAACATAAGTGGGTTTATATAAAGTACATTTAAAAAGACAAGAACCTTAAGCATTAAAAGTATTTTTAATAAATGAACAAATATCTAAATGATATTGGAAAAGGATTAAGAGTTTTTAATAAAACTATTAAGAATTTTAGGTTAAAAGTTTTTTTTCGGTAAATGACAAAAAAAAAAGAAAAATTGTCAGGTTTTATTAAGCTATAGTAGTAGTAAGAAAATTGTCTAACTAAAATTTTACGACATTAAGTAAAGAGACTAAAAATAATTGAATTATATGATTTTATATTCTACTGAACTTTAAACTTCAAATGTATTTTAAGCATAAAATCAATATTAATCGAATTTGCTACAAAAATAAACGTAAATGAAAACATTTTTAAGATTGAAACCACTTTTAATATACATTTAGTAGTACATCATATACCAAAAGTATGCTACATAAATAAAAAACATTGAATGTATGAAACAAAAAGCTTTATCAAAACGTCTCTGTATTTATATAAGCAATAAATAAGAAATGTGTATAAAGTGTATAGAAAAATACTTTATAAAAATGACATTTTATGATAGTCACAATCGTTTTTCCCTTAATGTTGCACTCAAAACAGACAACCAAACCATGGCAACTCATCGCCTGATAATGTATTAGTAGTAACCACAAAAAGCGGAAGTTTATGAGAGAAAGAGCAATAGCGGAAAAAATGGCTATATAAAGTGTGGCAATAAAGATATTGAACAGTGGTACCATGTATAAAGAAGAAGATTTTTAAAAATCTAAAATTTTGTTAGTTTTTGTTAAAATATAAAAGATATTTTGCAACACACTGTTAATGTACTGCCTGTAACTAAATGTACATGTATGTATGTGTTAAAAAAACTATTACCACTACAAGCCCACCTCTTATACATATGTACATACACCCGTTACAGAGTTACATGGATGTATGTATATAAGAATATGACAGTGAGGAGTAAACTATATAGAATTTGTTTTTCAGCTAAATTTTACGTTGTATACACCGTTATTTTTTCTCCTTTGAATGTATGGGAAACTATATCAATATGTTTGAGTGTGTGCGAGTTTTTTTTTGTATGATAAATGATGCATTTCTGATGATACCAACCAAATACATTGCACCAAACAAAAAATGTACAGCAAAATGCGATTTTGTGTCTTTTTAGTAGTAGAAAATTTCTACTCCCTTAGCTAAATATTGTTGGTTGTTTAGTTGTAGTTGTTGTCATCTTTTTTCTATACTTTATTTCCCCAATGCACCTAAATTTTTATCAACGTATATTTCTCGTCATCAAATTCTATCATGAAGTTTGTGTCTGTTGTCTATGTTCGTTTTTTCCACACTCTTACAAACATTGTATTTTTTGTTAGTAAATGTGCCTTGTGGCTTTTAGTTCAATATTTTATGACTAAGCTTTATTTCATCGAAACCCACTACAACAGCAACTAAAACTACTAGCTGTGTTATCTTTTTTATATGTTGCTTTAACTATACGTTAAATGTTGTAGAAAAAGTGAAAAAAGAAAATTGTTGGTTGGTTGATAGAAAGCAGTATAAGCCAGCTAGTTGTTAGCTTTGTTCAATTGGTAAAATTTAAACGCTATTTTGTTCAAAGTAACAAAATAATACGATTTTAATATGACTGTGTTTTTTTTTATTCCCTGGATTTTAAGGAGTAAAAGTAGGAGTTGTCTTTAAAGAGAGCAGTAAAAGAAACAATTTTTAGTCAAGTTAATAAAAAAAAAAGAACAAAGACAAATGGTTTGAAAATGTCTTACTAAAATATTCTAAGAAGTCTTTGGTGTTGTATTTTTATGAGCAAAGTATTAAAATAAGTTTAAATATTAAGTTAAAGGAATAGAGAAAATCTTTTGTGTTATTTAAAAAATATTATAATTCTCTAAACTTTGAACTTGATGTTGCCAGCAACATGTTGATCTATTTTGCTTCTGAAATGTTCACAGTTCAGTAACAAGTTTCTCAGAAACCATAACAGTTTTTGGACAAATTGTTATACCCTACACCACTTTAGTGAGGAGGGTATATTGGGTTTGTGCTAATGTTTGTAAAGCACAATAATTCTATACCCACCTTAAAGTATACCAATCGGCTTAGAATAATTTTGAGTCGATTTAGCTAAGTCCATCTGTCTGTTCGTCCGTCTGTCTGTTTGTCTGTCTGTCTGTCTGTCTGTCTGTCTGTCTGTCCGTCCATGTAAACAAAGTCGCAATTTTGAAAATAATTCAATGAAATTTTGCACATAACAGTTTTTGGACAAATTGTTATACCCTACACCACTTTAGTGAGGAGGGTATATTGGGTTTGTGCTAATGTTTGTAAAGCACAATAATTCTATACCCACCTTAAAGTATACCAATCGGCTTAGAATAATTTTGAGTCGATTTAGCTAAGTCCATCTGTCTGTTCGTCCGTCTGTCTGTCTGTCTGTCTGTTTGTCTGTTTGTCTGTTTGTCTGTCTGTCTGTCTGTCTGTCTGTCTGTCTGTCTGTCTGTCCGTCCATGTAAACAAAGTCGCAATTTTGAAAATAATTCAATGAAATTTTGCACATGACCTTCTATTGAACTAGAAACGAATACTATTGAAAATGGATAACATCGGCCTAATATTTATGGGCTATACAACTGAACACCCCGAATAGGGCTTTTAAGTTCATAATTATGTTTAATATACTCGTATCTCGACAAAAGCTGCAAAACCAAGTTCTACACTAGTCTTGATGACCCTGATGAATTTTTTGATGATTGGGCCCCATTTGATCCTAGCCCCTATACAAAGCCCCCTTCGAAATATGACTTAAATGTACAGAATTTTAATCAACAAAAAATGGCTTAAGAATATCTGAGGCAAGGTTCAATTCAATATAAATACTTTATTATACTCCACGCTTTACATTTCTTGTAATAGCTTTTCGAATTATAGCGACAAAATTTTTGGTGCTTAAAGTCCAAGATTAGGACCCAAGCAACTCTTAGCAAAGCTCCAAGCCTTTTCAATTATTAAGAGTTTTAAGTTCCTTTTAAAGTCTTATAGCAAATATTTAAATTAACTTAAAGTTTTAATTTAACATCTCCTTTTCACTCTATTAAAGCAAAAATGTAGTAGTAACTTTTGCCTCTAAATAAAACATACTCAAGACAAATACATACTTCAAAACTTCTAGTCATGGAAACGCATATAAGTTTGTCTTAATAAAATAGTAACTTTTTTCGAATTACTGTTTTTTTCCAACTTATTTTTTTCTCAAACAACATACAAATATAAAATTTCATATATATCATATTTTAACCGCCATACATTATCTTTTGCAGACTGTTATAAGAATAGACTATAAACTACATATACACTCACACACACACTCAGACATATTCGTTGCACAGACACAACGAAAAGACAGACTTCATTAATTTTATAATAAATTGTATAATGCATACTCACAGACACTTAACAGCAGACATATACATAAATATTGTATTAAAAAAAAGTTGAGGTTTGAAATTTGCTTAAAAAAAAAGTCTGGTACAATGTTTTTATTGCATAAAGAAATTATTTTACAATTTAATTTTAAATGCTTGAATTATTTTAAAAGTTGAGCTTAAAAGTTTTGCTAAATAAAATTTAATTTAAATCCCTTAAGTTAACAATTTGATAAAAATGTTTAATAATTCTTTAATATTAAATTTATCAGGTTTTAGCCTAAAGGCTTTTTGTAAAAATTTTTTTTCTCTTCCTTCTTACGTTACTATTATTTGTTAAATTGTTGCTCAAGTGCTGACATTTACACCTTAGAAATATTATTTTATTTTTTTTTATTTTTTTTTTTTCACTCACATTTTTCTACGTTTTCTTCCTCTGTCATCTGGCGGATTGTAGTATATACTATGCATATGTCTAAAGGAAATTACAATTTATATTCATCCGTTGCTCTTATTTTTATTATTATTATTTTTCTGTTCACTTTTCTGTTATTTGTTTAAGTATTTGTAATGACATTTAGCCTTAAAGTATGCTAACGTTTGTCGAGCCTTAAGCTTAAGGGATTTTTGCACACAACTAAAATTTATTGAAATTGTGAAATGAATTTATTGATGTTTTAGATGAAATAAATATATATTTTTTTACGTCTTAGTTAGCGCTATATATATTAAAAAAAGATTAATGATAAAATATTGTAGGTGTTTAAAATATGCCAAGGGAATTATTTAAAATTTTAGCAGCTTAAAGTAGGCAATACTTTTTTTATTATAATTTAGCCTAGAAGTATGCCAAGGTATTTAATTTTTTACTAATTAAATACTACCCCCTTAAATATGCTTTAAAATAATTCTGATGTGTATTTATACTAATTATTATGTTATTCCTATGTATTACAGCTGTCTGCAGTTTAGATTGTGGTCCCAATGGTGTTTGTGAATCTGGCAAATGTCGCTGTAATCCCGGCTGGACTGGAAATCTCTGCGATCAATTACCCTGTGATGCCAGATGCTCCGAACATGGCCAATGTAAAAATGGCACATGTGTCTGCTCACAAGGATGGAATGGCAGACATTGTACATTGCGTAAGTATTCAAACTCACACACACACACACATACACTTACATTTATATGTATATAATTTAATAAAGTGAAACTACTTATATAGGAGAAAAGGAGACTACCCTGAATAAAAAGGTTCTCAAATTCCCTAAAAGTATGCAGGAGATACCAAAAAACTTTTGCAAATTTAACTTTTTAAAACAAAATAAAAGTATAGACAACTACAACAAAAATCAATAGTTTGATTTTTGTTTAACACAACAATCTATTGAGAAGAGCAATTTTTGTTTTTTACTGCAGTATTTTAAATATAAACAAAATCAAATTTAAACTTTTCAGACGTTTGGTAATAGGAGTAATGAAATTGATAGAGAGTAAGAAAAAAATGTATTGCATACATACGAAAAAAAGTATTTAGGGAATTATGAAGAAAGTTGGCTATTTTTATAGGAGAAAATTAAGTTTAAAATTTGGTTACTTTTTTGTAGAAAATTTTTTAATTTACTAGAAATTAATATTAAATCTAACAAATCTCTTTTTTCCCTAACCCATATTTCGCCTTAAAGTATGCTTCTTTTTTTTTCGAGAAAAAAAATTAAATACTCTTTTCAACACCCTCAGCTTTTAAGGCATCAAATAATAGTAATATGGCTTCTTTCTATTTAGCTAGACATTTCAAAGTTGTTAATATATGCATATATATTCTAACTTGTCATGTTCATATAAGAACATTCCTTCATTCCTATATCATACCACTTTCTTAATGTTTTGTATATATTCTAAAATTTTCTTGAATATTTGCAAATAATGTGACATGTTAAGACATGCACAAATATTAAAAAGTACTAGTGGTAGCAGTAGAAATGTAAAAAGGGAACCTTATAGAAAATAAAAACAAGTAGGAAATTATAGTCGGGCGAGGCCGATACCATATAATACCCTACACCTGTTACAAAAATAAAATGTGATTTACTTTTCATAATAAAGCATTTAAGTTGAATTGTACCTTGCCTCAGATATACTTAAGCCATTCATTGTTTGATAAAATTCTGGACATTTAAGTGAAATTTTGAAGGGAGCTTTGTATAGGGGCTATGGTCAAATTAGACCCTAGATACGAGTATATTAAACATAATTATGAACTTAAAAGCCCTATTCGGCGGGTTCAGTTGTATGGGGGCTAGGTGAAATAATGGACCGATGTTAACTATTTTCAATAGTGTTCGTCTCCGGTACCATAGAAGATTATATGCCAATTTCATTGAATTATCTTCAAAATTGCGACCTGTAGTTTGATTACAAGGTTTACAAGCCCTTGTTGTATGGGGACTAGGTGAAATAATGGACCGATCTTAACCATTTTCAATAGGCTTCGTTCCTAGGACAATAGAAGACGATGTACCAAATGTCAGTGAAATATCTTCAAAATTGCGACCTGTAATTTGATTACAAGGTTTACAAGCCCTATTCGGGGGTTCAGTTGTATGGGGGCTAGGTGAAATAATGGACTCATGTTAACCATTTTCAATAGGCTTCATCTCAGATACCATAGAAGATCAATTGAGAAATTTAATTGAATTATCTTCAAAATTGAGACCTGTAGTTTAATTGCAAGGTTTACAAGCTATATTCGGAGGTTCATTTGTATGGGGGCTAGGTGAAATAATGGACCGATCTTAACTATTAAGGCTTTGTCCCTGTAACAATAGAAGATCATGTACCAAATTCCATTGAATTATCTTCATAATTGCGACCTGTATTTTGATTACAAGGTTTACATGGACGGACGGACATAGCTAAATCGACTCAGAAAATGATTCTAAGCCGAATGGTATACTTTAAGGTGGGTATAGGACCAATATTATTGTGCGTTACAAACACCAGAACAAACCCAATATACCCTCCTCACTAAAGTGGTGTAGGGTATAAAAAATATAAGATATATAACTTTCATAGACATACTAGACATTAGTTTAACTTCAATGTCATCTCTTTGGGAAACTAAATGTGGGTATTTACATAGACACTCATATATAACTAAGAGGGAAAATGTATATATGTATGTGTACCTTATACATGTACAGTAAAATAGACAGGAAGTATGCTTAAAGCTAAACACTTATAAAACATGTATTCTATGTATATAGGTATGTGTAGATATTTGTACAAAAGTCATCATCATTATCAGCTGGAGTACAAAATCATTATCATCATTTTAACATTTCTACATGCTAAATTGATGTTAATATTTAAACTAGGAAATTTCCGTAACCATCATGAAATTTAGGTTCGTTCTACCTTATGTTTAAAAGGAAAACAGAAAAATTTCAGTTTTTATTTATATGTATTTTTTTTTTCAAAAAAGTAGAAAAAAATTTATAAAACGAGAAATTAGTTACGGAGACAAAATGTTTTACAAATAAATATACAAATAACACAAAACAAATAGATAAAAATATATTTTTTTTTTGCAAAAATTTTTGTACAACTTCCATACTATTTGGCGCTTTACTAGCATTTTAATGTCATTGTGACATGTGTCATGTACAAACATACATTGTATATACCTTCAAAGTCTTGGGTATGCATGTCTGTTCTAAAAAGGCAATTTAGAAAATCATTTGTAACATTTTAACTTCCTCTCTGAAACTTCAGACTTGTGCAATATTATTTTGTAGCTGCTGCTTCTTGGCTGTCTTATAAGGCCTGTTTAAAACTTCATACATTATTTTATATTTTCAAAACAAGTACTTTTTCTTTCTTACTCTCACTCTCTTACTCTTTACTTTTCTTTATATAATATGATATATACAATTTAACAATAATATGCCTGCTTGTGTGACATGCCATGCTCGTTTGCTGTTGTGTCTCTTTTTATTTGACACTCACTGCCTTAACTTATGCTATATATTTATACTCAAAAAGGAATTTATATTGATAATATTTCTAAGGAAGTCTTAAATTGTTTGTCGTTTTTATTTTTATAGCTACATATATATGGATGTGTAATTTTTGTACTTCTTAGTTTCTATCTAAATTTTTGTTTAGTACCCTGTAAAAAAGCTAAAAAAAACATTATCTAAAGGAAATATTACTAGTAACATGTTTTGTGTACATTTTGTTATTGTGCACAAAAAAGTCGTTAAGTTGTTTCCAAATTGCCTTAGTTTTTTTTGCCCAAAAAAACATAAAGAAACAAAATATTTTCCAAAAATAGCGGAAGTTTTATTGGTTTTGCACACGTCAACATTATTGAAAATATTTATTTATATATAGTATAGTTGGTTTTTGTTATAAACTTTTAACAATTTATTTTTTTTTTATTTGTTTTCTATATATATAGATTATTTTCTATATTTATATATTGTTTGGGTTTTTTTTCAGTGCATATGCTAAAATTTTTGTGATATATTACATATTTCCTGTTTAAAAAACTATTTTTTTTATTTAGGGATGTGCAGTCTAGTTGGATAGATTTTGTTTATGTGTTATTTGGAAAATAAACTATAATAAAATATTTTTTTTTTTTTAAACTTTTGCCAACATGTTTCATCAATTTTGTGTTAATCGATATGTCTTGTTTCAGTATGTGGGTAGGGGCATAGAGATTTATACATTCATCTGTATCGAGTTTTCTGTACCCTGCAACAAAGCTTGTTTAGGAAGATTTCACTGGTTGCAACTCTTTTGGTTCGATATTGTTCTAGAAAGAAAAATTTGACTGACAAATGTATTGTTCGAAAGAAAAGCTTTCTTTGAAGATTAATTTTACCATTAAACTTTGTTTATGACTTAAAGGTGTTTGTTATAGTTTTATAACTTTTTATATCCTGTCTCATTTGAATCATATATGTATATGTAGGAGTTGTTGGTTTGGACGTATAGAGAAAAAAACTTTCTTTAGAGATAACTTTTGTCTGCGAAATGTCTTTTTATTCAAAAGCTTTTTCAAAATATTGATCACTAGGTATTTCTCTAAAACAACACTGGCAGACAGACAGACAATAAACTGTTGTAAAATGACAAAACAGTTTATGCGGAATTTTTTTGTTTACCATAGACATGCATTAATATTTACAGAATTATAAAAATGTATGTGATTGACAGCCTGAATGAATACGCAATCACGAAATATATTTATTTAAATAAATTAAATTTGAACTCCCGTATTCATAAAGATATTAATCGGTTATTTTAGGTTTATTATACACATTTTACATACAAAAATCCTACAATAAACCATCAACAACTTTCTTAAACGTTTATGAATATTTGGGTTAAGGTTTTAAAGCTATAAATCCTAAAAATAAACAGAAAGCTATATAAACTCTGAAAAGCTGCTGTCTAGTTATTAACGAAAAGGAAAGCTCTTTCTAGTATGTGTCAAAACTCTATCGAAATAAAAGCTCTGATGAATAAGTATCAACTGAATACACGATATGTAAACGTAGTTTGTTTATAGGTCTCAAAGCTTTCATGTAAAAAGCTTTATTATCACTCATGCAAGGAAGTTTCTAAATACTAATCTTAAAGGAGATTTTTACAGTCAATTAATATCAGAATATAGAAAAGTGACACATATACATAGTGAATAGTTTAAAGTTATTCTAATAACATTTAGATCGGTATTAAAAAAAGCTCTTTTAAGCAAAAAACTTTTAACTAAAGTAAAAATATTGAACAGTACAAAAGCTAGATAGTATAAAATATCTCAAATATCTCTGAAAGCAAAACTGAGAAGATTAACTTATATTAAAAGCTTTTCTCGTAAAAAAAATATTACAAAAGTTATGAAAGTATAACTTTCTATAAAAGCTGAAACTGAAAAGATTTACTTTTATATAAATATCACAAAAGACTCCGTGAGCTCTGTGAAACTTACTGGAGAGCTTTTTTAACTTAAATAAGTTTTTTGAGTAATAAAGCTTTTATAAAAAAAGCATTTTAATAGAATTGTTTGTAAAAAGGTTTTTAAATAACAAGCTATGTGAAGAAGCACCAATGAATTTACAAAAAGTATTAAAGTATAACTTTCTATAAAAGCTGAAACTGAAAAGCTTTACTTTTATATAAATATCACAAAATACTCCGTAAACTCTGTGAAACTTACTGGAGCTTTTTTAACTTAAACAAGTTTTTTTAATAAAAAAGCATTTTAATAGAATCTTTTTTTGAAAGGATTTTTAAATCCTTTCACCTGGAAAAGCTGTCATGTTTTGAATAAAAAAGCTTTTTTTACTACGAAATATAAAATATTTTAATTTTTAGACTATGTAGATTTTAATTGATTACTCAAAAAACAAGAAAAGCTCCCCCTCTCTCTCGTTCAAAATTCACTATTGATTCTCATTTAAATTACTATTAAATACAAAATTAAAGATAATTTTATTTTATTTTCCTGACCAAGTCATTTTTTACGAGTATAAAAAATTTAACTATTGTGTGAGAATTTTTAACAAATGTTCAAAAGCAGCACAAAAACAAATTTAATTTTTATTTAATTTATTTATATTTTACACAAGCTCTTTAATCATTTATGCAGATGTATACATAAACTTGCTCTCCTTTAAATCATTGAACCTTGATTTTCATTAATTATGAATGTATTTATTTTATTTTTTTCTCATTCTCCATTTTTTTATTTTTTTTATTTTTTGCAGCTGGTTGTGAAAATGGTTGCTCACGTCATGGTCAATGCACTTTGGAAAATGGCGAATATCGTTGTGATTGTATTGAAGGTTGGGCTGGTACAGATTGTTCAATTGCATTGGAAATGAATTGCAAGGATAATATTGATAATGATGGTGGTAAGTTAAAAAATATTGTGTTTTTATATATTTTTTTTTGTATTCCTTTTTGGTACTTTATTTAATAATAGTGATAAATAATATATATTTAAAAAAAAACATTTTAAAATATGTTATAAATTTAAAATTCAGACGGAATTCACAAAAATTAAAACAAAAATAACTAATGAACAGTTTTTAACAAATTTTGTATACATAATGTTAGACATGTTTTGAGTTTTTATTATATGGTTTCATTATTATAATTAAATAGAATTTTATAGTTTGTTTTTCTTGTCTATCATAAAAATTGGCTTTTGTGTATAGATACATAACTGTTTCCATACAAACTTCTTTTTTCCCTGTCTGTTTTATTGATTTCTGTATAGAATTCAATTATTAATCATGTTTATAAGCTTTTGGGAATACATAATATAATTTTTTCATATTTATTTATTTACTTCTTTTTTTCTCTTGCATTTTTCTGAATTTTTTATTTAGACAATATTATGAAACTTTTCAATCAATTTTTTTTTTTGTATTTTTCGGTTACTTTTGTGTCTATAGTTTTTGTTTAGGTTTAGTAGCAAGTTTAAGAATATAAAAGAAAATATATAAATAAATCAATTTTCTTTTGATTTTATTTAATAAGCAGGAGAACAAATAATAGTCCCTTGGTAATGTCTTTTTGATATTGGCATGTGCTATTGAAAAAAATTATAAAAAAAAAAATTATGAATTTTTAAGTTCAAAAGCTTTAATATTAAACATAAAATTCATTTCAATTAAAGAAAACTTAAGATTTATCTTCAAAATACTTGTTGATAAAATATTAAAAATACTAATATTCTATAACAGTGATCGGCACACTGAGACTGTGTCTTTTTAACAGAAGCATTAAAAATATTGCTTTATACACTTTTATTTCCTAATTAAGTTTTAATAAAATTTATCTACTAATGAATAACTGCTTACTTTCAGTACCCGTGACTTGAAAAAGTCAACCATTGTTCTAAACATTTTCATATAGCTGATAATTTACATAACATATGCATAAAAAAATTCCTTAAATATGCAAACAATCTAAAGCTTTAAAAACAAATTCCTCGCAAGGTGTTAAAAGCTTTTAGATGTTCCCTAAATAAAAGTCAATATTTCGTGGGTGTGTGTTAGTGTAAAAGGAAATCAAGGGAAATTTAAATCAACTTAAAAATAAGTAGCTTCTTATTGTTTTCGATAAAAAAAAAACACAGCAGGAAAAGAAAAAGAAATCATCAAACCTAAATTGAAACAAATACACATACATAACAATATCCTTAAATGCTTTTAAACAATAATAACAACAACTCTTTTAGATTACCTTTAACATTTAAGTATTTGGTTGTTGTTGTTTTAGTCTTAAATGTACTTATTTTTCAAAGTGATTGTTTTTGTTTTTTATAAAATAAAAAAAAAAAAAAACTTTGAAAACATAAACAAAATGTCAATGTAAAAAGGTGTCTGTCTGTATGTATTTCTTTATTTTTTTTCTTTACATTTAAAGTGGTTTTGTAAACACATGTCTCTTTTACTCCCTTAGTACTTGATCTTGAGTAGTTGGAATGCTACTCGTAGAGGAAGTCGAATTTAAGTTAGTCGTTTTTTAGGTTACATATATAGGTGATGAAAACCCTGTTACATTTTACCGGAAAATCTAAGAATAATTTACTGGCTTTTTACAAATTTGTCGTTTTTAATAGATTAGTTTCAATAGTCCTGTGTATGGGCCAGACTATAGTCTATAGCCCAGACAATAGATTATTCTATGAACCAGACTATATAATTTTCTATAAACCAAACTATAGATCATATGATATTTAATAGACCCGACTTTAGGCTATTGACCAAACTATAATTTAGTCTATTAACTACACAATAATCGAGTCTAGTCCATAGACTAAACTGTAGCCCATACTATGACTATAGTCCTAACTGTAGCATAGTCAATGGATTAAACAACTCTCCAGTTTGTACCCCAACTTAAGTCTAAGTATATGGGCCAGACTATAATCTGTAGCCCAGACAATAGATTATTCTATGAACCAGACTATATAATATCCTATAAACTAAACTATAGTTCATATGATAGTATATTTAATAGACCAGACTATAGTCTATTGACCAAACTACTCAATAAACTAGCCTAGTCCATAGACTAAACTGCAGCCCAGACTATGACTATAGTCCTAACTGTAGCATAGTCTATGGATCAAACAACTCTCCAGTTTGTAACTCAACTTAAGTCTATTTAATGGAACAAACTAAAGACTAGTCTTTGGAAAAACTATAGTCTAGTCTTTGGACCAAACTATAGTCTAGACTTTGGTTCAAACTATAGTCTAAGCCATAAATCGGTATACAGACTAGTATATGGACCAAACAAGACTAGTATATGGACCAAACAATAGACTTTGTTCAAAGTTATAGTCTACATAGTCTTTGAACTTGACTACAGTCTAGGCTAAGAACCGGACTGTAGTCTAGACTAGTCAATGGCTAATCTTTCAGGAACCTAAATCAAAGGGCAGATGTTTAATTGGTTTAACACTTCATGGAAAAGCCCTTCTGATGATCATTAATTTCAGGAACTTAAATCAAAGGGCAGATGTTTAGATGGTTTAACACTTCTTGGAATAGCCTTTCTGATGATCATTACAAATGACAAAAAAGAATAACAAATGTCATGAATGAATCATGTTATAGTATCCATAGACTTGAAGTAGGCCTCCCAAAAAGTCGTACTTACCTTTATGAGTAAAGAACCCTTGATTTTTTTTAACCTCCACACCTATATTTATGTATGTATATTTTTTATTATTGAAGAGTTGTGACAATATTGAAGCATTTCCTTTCAGTTGTTTTTATTTACAGCAAAAAAAAAAAAAAAATAACAATATTCCCTAGCATACTGTAAGGCTAAAGTGTTTCACATTATTTTACTTTTATTCTATATATTTTTTTTATTTTGTTTCATATCTCAAGAGCACATACATGTAAATGTTAAATTGTATAGGTAGCAATACGTACACACAAGCAAACATACGCATGATTATTAGGGCGTCCCAATTGTATAGAAACTAAATAAATATTGGTTTGTTGAAGGGAGTCATTTGTGAAAAATTGAAAACGCTGTTTAAGGATTAAATAAAAAAGGATTTTATTATCTTTTGATGTTGTTAAAAAAAATTAAAAAATTTCGAAAAGCGAGAAAGATTTTAACTTTTATTTCCGTTAAGATCATTTAGCTCTTTTTCGGGGAACAACCTTAATTAATATGTGTATATTTTATGATAGAAGTATGTGTATGGGTTATTGAACAAATACACGAAGGGTTAATATTTAAAACATGTCTTACAGTAATACGTGCTCTTGCATTTTTTATACATGTATGTATATGACATACACTATAAATACCTATACAATATATGAAAGTATAGGAGGGGTGCATATAGTATTTATGTGTGTTCATATATAGAAGTGTAATGTAATGTTGTTGTAATACATCATTTTTTGATAAACATGCCACAAGTACATACTACTCTCCATACGTACCATGTATTTAATGGAAAATGTAATCAAGACAGTGGAACCCCTATAAAAGTTAAAAGAATTTAGAGGAGATTTCGAATGACAAACGATATATTTCATAAAACTTTTCAAAATCAAAATGTTTCAATTATTAAAAAAAAAACTTCCCTAGTTTTTCTCCAAATATTGATAATTCGCCATATTCTTATTCTACTGTCTATTGCCTAAATAAAAACTCCCACTTTAAAATTTTCAGGTAAATTTTGTAGGAAAAATAAAATGTTTAACGTACATCCGCAAAAACGTACTTTCATTCATTTTGCCATAAATGTTGTAGATGATGTAGACGATGATGAACTTCAAGTATAGTAGTTGTCGGGTGTACTTGTAGTTTTTATATATATGAGAGTTGATTGTAAGTGTTTTGGGGATTTAAAAATTGACATGCGAAATAAAAAAAAATGAAATGAAGAAGAACAAAAAAATTAAGAGAAAAAATAACAACAAAACCAAATAAAAAGGTTACGTGATTGCATAAATAACACCATCACATAATCGGGAGCTGGAGCACAGAGCTCTAGGAAGTCAACATCATTCATATATTCATTCATTGATGGCAGAGTGTATGTAAAAGGCCTCAATTTTTAGAGGTGTATAAAATGTTGGCATATTCACGTTTTATAAAATGATGTATTGTAAAAAGAACTTGTTTTTGTTGGAAAGGGTTTGGAAGCTTTTTTTGGTTGTTGTTTTTTTTTTTTTTTTGGAGCCTTAACACATTTTGTGATATATTCACTGTATTTGTATAGTAGATTTTAAGGCTTAAGGTTAAAATTAAAAGATTATGAAAATGATAGGGAGTTAAGTTTAAAATGTATTGCTTTTTTGATGTTAAAGCTTATGTTAAAGAGTTTTTTTTTTAATATTGTGAAAGCTGTTTGTTTTTTCAATAAACAACTTGTTGTGATTTGAAAAATAAAGTAGAGAAGATTATGTGAATGTGTTTTGTGCAAAGAATTTAAATTGTTTTCAAAAGTAAGGCAATCTTAAGGTTGTTTCCAATACAGCTTTAGTTGGTTTAATTTCTTTAGGAATTATTTTAAAAATCTTCTTAAAGAATGTTATTGCTTTATATATAAATGACTTTAAATGAAGCTTTTATATAACTTTCAAAAATATCAAAGATAAATTTTCAATGCTTTAGTTCCTTGAAAATTTACATATATTTTTGAAAGCTTTGAAAAAGTTTTTGATGTTAGACAGTTGATTTAAAAGCATTTAAAGCTTTCTTTGAGCTTTTCTTTCAACTGACAATTGTAGGCTATAAATGCCTTTAATATATTGTTTTTTTAAGTTTATTGAAAGCTTTGTAAATATTATAGCTTTGATAAAATCTTTAAAAAAGCTTAAGAGACATAAAGTAAAATATCTTTCAAAGTTTAAAATGTTAGTATAGATCTTAAGGTTGTTTCAAATAGAGCTTTAATTGCTTTAATTTCTTTATAAATTATGTTAAAAATGTAAAGCTTCTTAAAGAATTTTATTGCTTTATATATAAATAACTTTAAATTAAGCTTTTATATAACTTTCAAAAATATCAAAGATAAATTTTCAATGCTTCAGTTCTGAAAATGTACATATATTTTTGAAAGCTTTGAAAAAGTTTCTGATGTTAGACAGTTTTGTTGATTTAAATGCATTTAAAGCTTTCTTTGAGCTTTTCTTTCTACTAACAATTGTAGACATTAAATGCCTTTATTATATTGTTTATTTAAGTTTATTGTTAGCTTTGTAAATATTATAGCTTTGATAAAAGCTTTAAAAAAGCTTAAGCGACAGAAAGTAAAATAGCTTTCAAAGTTTAAAATCTTAGTATAAAATATGATTTTGTACCACTTTCAAAAACTAAAGAAAATTCTTAAAGTTGTTTACAAAGCTTTCGTTCTTTTGAGTATTGAAGTTTATATTTAAAGATTTTAAAGGTAATGATTTAAATCCTTTTGAAGCTTTATTGAGCTTTTCAAATATCAATTATTTAAGACCACTTAAGGATTAACAAAATGCTTAACTATTGAATGCTGTAATAAAAGCTTTTAAAAAAGGAGACAGAAAGCGGCAAAATTTTTTTTAAACACCTTAAACACTTCTAAATCTGTTCATTTTAACAAATTTCAAAATTCTTTTAAAAAATATTCTTATGAAGATTTTTAAACTTGTCAAATATTTTAAAGAGCTTTAACAACTTCTACAAAGCTGTTTCTTTTTTTTTAGATTATAAAAGGAATATTGAAACTCTAGATGCATATATTTGAACAAATTCAAATTAAAGGTTTTCTAAAAATGTTCTCTTCAAGCTTTCTTGTTTAATTAAAGCTCTCAAAAGCTTTTGAATATAATTATTCCCTCAGGTCAAAATTTCTCCTTAATTTTTCTTGCAAATATTATTTAAAACTTTAATATTAAGAATCATCTAAACAAATTATTACAATTATTCCCATAATACCATCTCCTTCATCAACAATATGTAACACATATCTGATTTTCTTTTTTAATTTAATTTCTTTCCCCCATTTTATAGATGGTATGACAGATTGTTCGGACAGTGAATGTTGCTCACATCCGGCCTGTTCGGAACACATTATGTGCCTGTCATCTAATGATCCCGTCGAAGTGCTGTTGCGCAAACAACCACCCTCGGTAACAGCATCATTCTATCAACGTGTCAAATTTTTGATTGAAGAGAATTCCGTGCAATCGTATGCCCATATGGATGAATACAGTGAAAAGTGAGTACAAATTGTTGCCATTTCTATTAAAATTTTATATAAATTTTTATATATAAATATTTAAAAGAATTATATAGTGAAAACAAAATATTTATATAAATGAAAAAACAAAACGTATATATAAAAAAGCTTTTCAGTTAGTTTTTTTTAGTTAAAAGTTTTATTATTTTTTTTCTATTGAGTTTGTTTGAAAAAAAACATATATATTTTGATTTTAATGAATGCACCAAGTTAGAGAATATAAAAAAATTTACAGTTTAGGGCTTTTTAAATTAAATTTAGGACACTTTATAAATTTTTAATTTGATTTTTTAGAGATTTTTAAAATTTTATTTAACTGGTGCAATGAAGAGAAAAAGCTCAAATATTTTTATTTAGTTTTTTTTTGGTTTTAAAATTTTTTTATTATTAATGAAAGAAAAAAAGATTTGAGAAAATTTGTTTAACAAACTTAAACTAAGTATTTTATTTAACAAAAAAATCTTATGCTTTTAATATGTATTGTGTTTTAAGTTTTTAATTTCAGTTTTTTTTGAATGTCAAAAAAAAAAAAACACAAGTATAAAGTATAGCGAAAAAAAAAAATTATCAAAAAAACCCTACAATATCCTTTTTAAATCCTTAACCAAGTCCCCTCAATGAGTCTATCATTTATGCGTTGGAATATATGTTTTCTTTTTTCTTACAATTCTACAAAAAAATCCTAATTTTCTTTAAAGAAAAAAAAAAAACAACTACTATCCTCAAATTTTTATTTTATTTTTTAACAATATTTGTTTGGTTTTTTTTCATGTCAAAAAATAAATTTATTGAAAAATGTTTTAACATAAAAAAACAACTTTTTTTGGTTTGAGCTTTTTCTTTTCTTGCCTAACTTTTGTAGGGTTATTTAACAAAAAAAAAATATATATTAACATAAAATTTCTCTTTTAGTTTTCAATTATTTAAAAAAATTGTGTTTGTGTTTTTGAGTTTTTTAAATTATGTTTTTAATTGTTTATGAAATTTGTCTTTTTACTAAAAGCAAAAAGTCCAAAGCGAAAATAATGATAGCACCTCATTGAGTATGTGTGTTGTCTAGTGTTTTACCTCCTTGTGTTCGTCTTTACCCTAAAAAAACAAAAAAATAATAAAATAAATTACTAAAACTGATCAATTATTAAAGAAAACCATGTTTAAAGTATTTATAATATTTTTATAAAAATTATAAAAGGAAAATAATGTTAAATTTAAACAACTAATATATAACTTATGAAAAAAAAAAAAAACTTAAAGAATTTAAGTTTATTTTGTTTTACATTTTAAAGATTTTATGTCTGTTTTAATTCATTTTCAATTTAAAACAAAATTTTATTTAATTTTTATTTGCTTTTTTTAGTTTTTGTTATGTTAGAGTTTTTCATTATTTAGTTTCGGTTTTTTACATTATCAATCAATTATATTGCTAATCATTTAGGTTTATTTTAGTAAACTTTTTTGTTGTTGTTTTAATTTTTATTTAATTTATTTAACCAGAAATTTAGAAAAAACGAAAAAAAAACTATTTGTGTATGAAATATTTAATCCATTAAATTATTATGGCCAACCAAACAAGGATTTAAAACTATTTTAATAAAACAGTGAGTAACAAAATTGGTAAAAAAAACATTTCTTAAACTATTTGTTTTTATATTTTCAAAAGTAACAAATTCATAAGCTATTAAAGCTTTTAATATCTCTTCAGAAAAGTTGTGCATAAAGCTTTTAGAAAAGCTGCGCTAAGCTACATATCCAATAAGCTTTCTTATATTCATTTGTATGTTTAAAAGAGAGCTTATTTTGCTATGAATGATCATTGTAATATCTATTGCTTTTAAGGCAGCTATCGACAGAGAAAGCTCTCCCACTGTTTTTTAATAAACCTGGTTGTGTATGCCAGAGTACAAAGAGAGAGAGAGAGGAAGAGCTTTCTGTCCATAACAGTTTTATTTTAAAAATAACATATCTTATATTATTAGTTTTTCTTTTTCAAAAGTACCAAATTTATAAGCTATTAAAGCTCTTGAAATCTTTTCAGAAAAGTTGTGCATAAAGTTTTTAGAAAAGCAGCAGTAAACTACCTATCCAATAAGCTTTCTTATATTCAAATCAGAGCTTTTTTAATACTCTCTGCCGTTATCTGCTATGTATATCATTGAAATAGCTTTTGCTTTTAAGGCAGTTATCGACAGAGAAAGCTCTCAATAAGCTTTATTGTATTCAAAAAAGAGCTTATTTAATACTCTCTGCCGTTATCTACTTTTTTTGCTTTTAAGGCAGTTATCGGCAGAGAAAGCTCTCAATTAGCTTTCTTGTATTCAAATGAAAGCTTATTTATTTAATGCTATGTATGATCATTGTAATAGCTTTTGCTTCTAAGGCAGTTATCGACAGAGAAAGCTCTCCCACTGTTGGTTTTAAAATCAGGTTATGTATGCGAGAGTATAAAGAGAGAGATAGAGCTTTCTGTCCAGTTTCATCTTAAAAATAACATTTCTTATATTATTAGTTTTCTTTTTTCAAAAGTACCAAATTCATAAGCTATTAAAGCTTTTGAAATCTCTTCAGAAAAGTTGTGCATAAAGCTACATAAAGCAGTAAGCTACATATCCAATAAGCTTTCTTGTATTCAAATTAAAGCTTATTTAATTTAAAAATGGCGACGTAAACAATGTTAACAATTTTCAAAACAAACTTTGACAATTTGCTTCATTTATCTAGTTTAAAAAAATAGTCAGCTGTTCAAGTGATGCTACTTTATTAATTTACTTTGCTTTATTGTATTCAAAAAAAGAGCTAATTTAATACTCTCTGCCGTTATCTGTTATGTTATGATCATTGTAATAGCTTTTGCTTTTAAGGCAGTTATCGACAGAGAAAGCTCTCCCAGTCTCTTTTATAAATCATTTTATATATGCCAGAGTACAAGAGAGAGAGAGAGCTTTCTGCCCACAACAGTTTTATTTTAACTTGATAAAATTTTAACTCCTTTTGTTACTCACTGTTAATTTAAATTAATATTTTTATTTACATTAAAGTATATGATGTTTTTAAATATTTATTTAAAGTTTTTTTTTTTTATATAACAAAATATTTGTTATGTGTTTTAGTTTTTAATCACATAAAATATATTTCTTATTCTGTTTACATATAATTTTTATAATAATTTTTTTTTTTTCGAAAATTCTAATTTAAAAATTATATATTTATTTAAATTCATGTGCGTGTCTAAACAATATTTTTTTTTCGGTTTAATTATTCCTATAATTTGTGATTAAAATAATATTAAACAAATATATATTAAAATAAATTTAAGGTAATAATACTAACACAAGCTAAAAAAATATAGGTTTTAAAAAAACAAAAAAGAAAATATTTTTCCCTGAAAAAATTCAAAAAAAAAAAAAAAGAAAAACAGAAACTGTTATAAACTTTAAGTATGAATGTGTGTGTATGTAACTCATTTAAAACCAAAAATTGTGTCAAATGTTAATTGTTTTCTTAAATTATAATTTTCTTAAGTTTTTTTTAATTTTTATTTTTTTTATATAACAAAGAAAATAATAATTTATTTAAAACCTTTTAAATTTCCTTTTTAAATGTAATTATTTTGCTAACTAAAAATTTACCATGTTTTTTGTATTTGTTTCTATCTTCTTGTTTTTTTTTTGAAAATTTATTTTTAATGTACTTGTCCTGTCTTAACATGTGTATTGTCCTTCATTTGTAATGCTGTGACGTCTAAAAAAAAAACAATCAAAACTACAAAAAATCCAAAAAAAAAAATCATTATAAATTAATAAAAATTCCCAATGTTTTATCACCCAATGTGCATTTAAATGCATTAATTGTTAATTTAACAAATATATAATTCAACAATTGTCATGTAATTTTCCCAAAAATGAAGTCTCTTCTGGAGCTCATTTACACCTTGGTAAGTTAGAAGGAATACTACGTACGAACAGAAACAAAAATATTACAAAATTCAAAAAAGAAAATTATCATTGATTCTTTTATTATTAAATATTTTCTACAAAATTCATAAAAAAAACTTCTTTAAAGAAGTGGTAAGGAGAAATATAGAATTTAAAGGAAAGATGTATGAAAAGCTTTAGAACAAAGTTTTTTTCCAAAACTAAAATTTTGTCTCAGAAACTTTTTTTAAAAGTTCTAAAAGGATTTTTGCAAAAGCTTTTTTGTAAAAAGCTTTATGAGTTTTTGTAATAGATATTTTGGCTTGTAAAAGCTCTTATAACTTATTTTTAAAAGCTTTTAAAGCTTCTTTGTAAAAGTTCCTAAAGCTTTTTTGTAAAAGCTCTTGAGCTTTATTTAAAAAATCATATTTTTCAAAGCTTTTTTGCAAAAGTTTTTAATACTTTTTGAAAACAAATTTTTAACGACTTTTTGTAAAAGTTTTAAAAGTTATTGCTAAGAGTTTTTAAAGCTTTTTATAGAAGCTTTTCCCCAAAAATCTTTTAAACTACTTTTCAGAAAACTTCTTAAACATTTCAAGAAAAAATTTTAAAATTTTTTATTTAGGAAAGCTTTGGAAAAATGTTTTTTTATCTAATTTTTACAAAATTTCACAAAATTATAAAATTTTAAAATGTGCTTGCGAAAGCTTTGTAATAGCTTTTGAAGCTTATAAGAAAAATAAAACACAAATTGATCATTATTTAGAATGATAAAAAAACCATTAAAGTTTTTATTCGAAAACTTTTTTGAACAAATATTTGGATCAAAAGCTTTTTAATAAATTTTTCCCATTTACAACCAATTCTATGTCTCTCCTAACCACCACATCTGCATCTCACTTTGCATCTCCTTACATATCCAACAAAACTTGTTCATATTTAGATCTAATTTTTAATTTTTTATTCAACAATAATAAAAAAAAACTCCCTTAAAAATATTTCATATATTTTTGTAAAATAAATTTTTTCCTCCTACATACTATTTTTTTCCATTCACCAAAAACTCTT